AATTTGCTACAAATATCAATCAACTATTTTATTTTTACTTTTTGAGAAACTTTTTTATTAAATATTAAACTTTTTGAGAAATGTATTAACTTTTAGATGCTTCCGTTAAATTGCAAAATCTAGTGATAATTTGTTTTAATTATAACTAATAGCTACGGAATTAAGCATATTTAGAAAATAACATAACTTTACAAAAATATATGGGCTTTATCGCGGGTATTTAATAATCTTTTTTGCCATTTGTTCACTTGGATCATTGATGCCATTTAATTAAGCTGGTTAACGTGACAGATCAGCCATGTAAACACTCGATAGATCTTGAATTACAGTCAATATATTCTCAATTTGTAAAGGAAAGTTGACGAAGACAATAGATATTTAGATACCATTAATTAATGGTAAATTGGTAATGCATGTTTATGATTTGAATCGGTCGATTAATAAACTGCGTTATTATAAGGTGATTTGGTATTTAGTCCAACAATAATGGGAAGTGGCAACCTGTGTTTCCCTCACGACTAAACAAATTCATTGGTTAAACCTTCAATATTAAATCATAGTTTTTTTTTTGTGGCGTCTAAACAAACATCATAAGTAGTAATCAAATCCTAACGCATTATATTTTCAATTAGATAAAGGATCCGCATATATGCGGGTTTGTGATAAAATATTTTATAACCCGTGAAAAAATTAAATTCAAAAAGGTAAAATAATAAATAAATCACACATGAAAATAAACAAAATAACACCAAAAAATGTTGATATAAAATGATTTAAGAATTACTTTTGGTATTTTGGTTGTTTTTCTTATTTGATTTCCAAATAATTTTTAAATTTTCTCACGTAATTAGTTTTTTCTGTTGTTAATGTATGAAGTAATTTAGTTTTTATTACTTCACTACTCTATTTTTTATAAAAATTTGAATTAATTACCCATTATCCTATTTAAATTTTTCAGTTTTATAAATATTTTAAAATATGTGAAAAAAAATTAAAAAGTGCAAGACCACTAATAGAAAAATCTCAGCGTTATTAAGTTATTTTGACGCTTTTTATTATATTACTTTTTCAAATTAAATTTTTCAAATCTTTCTAAATTTTTTTTTATATTCCTAATTGAATTAGATTATTTTTTTATATCTATTTTTCTAAAATTTTGCTGAATTACTCATATTTTTAGTTGCAAACTAAAATTGTAAATTTTTATAAGATTTCTTTCACATAATTAATTTCTAAATTTTTCAAGTAGCGAATGATGCACAAAGTTTTAGCTTGCAATTTGCAAGAAGCGAATGAAAATACTTGTAATCTATCTCACCTATCGAATAAGAGGATAATTGATGTTATTTTCTAATAAAAAGTTGAAATAAAATTTATCGAAGAGATTATCGAAATTTAAAATTGTTTGGTGAGAAGATTAATAAAATATTATAATCTATGATGATTTGAGTATGTAAATCTAAGTCTATCTGAACTAAAAAGTTTTTACACATGTATTGTTAATATTCAAGAACAATCTTGACATATATTGATTTTTATAATCTACTTGATAAACAAAAATATATGTTTAAAAAAAAATAAGATTTGCATATATATGGAAAAATTTAGTTAGAATTTTTTGG